AAAATACTAAGAAATTTAAAATACAAGACAAAGCAAGTTAAAAGAACACAACATGCACTCAGTTCTTAATCTTAATCTTAAATCCATATTTCACCAATGTTTTTTATTAATTACCATTAACTAAACTCATATAGTACACTGCATTCCTACAGAGATGAAAAAATAATAATTATGGAGGGTGCTAAATTATTAGGCTGCAACAATTGGTATATTTGTTTATAATCTTTCCCAAATTAGCTTTGTGCATTCTGGTGCTCCTTGAATGTATTACATAATTGTATCTTCTAAAATTGTCAACACCATTACCAAATTTGAGATTTATAGGAAATGCAGGTATCCCAAACTAATCACATTATAAAAGGCTGAATTAAAGCATGTTTATCTTGTGGGACTTCTATTTTGCTTTTTGTAATGTCTTGCTCTTTTGTTGCTTCTGTTCAGGTAAACTGAAGAAATGATGCATATGCAGAAGACCAATCCAAACTTGTTCAGCTTAAAGGTTTTTTTCTGGCTTTGTCTCTTTGAACTTCTGCATAGTAATTCAGGTAAGTCAGTGTACATCAGTAAACATAGAAGAGCATCTCTTGATCTACCTTGCCTGTTACCAATTAGAAATGCAATATACATTTAAAAATAGCCTCAGCTTTATTTCACAGCAATAATTCATTACCACTTAGCAATGAACATCTAAGAAATAGACACAGGAGTCACTTCCAGAATCAGAAAGTCCCTATCTGAATTTCACCTTTGCTGTAAACTGCCTAATGAACAGGACTAAGCATAAACTGACAACAGGTACCAGGTAAGGCAATCTATTTCAGCTTCCACTTACAATATAGGGATGGGATTTGGGAACTTGCCCAGTTTCTTAAGCAATATTTCATTTATGTGAGAAACAAATGCCTCAAAAAAAATCATAGTACAAGAGGTTTGAAAAAGAACCACTGTAATTATGATTTGCCGTTTATTGGTTGCTTTGCTATATTAAATGTAGCTAGGAATGTATATTATTATCCAAAATAAAATTATTTGGTTAAAAAAAGATTTTCTCAAATGACCATTGTTCTGTTAGGGGCAAAGAATGAGGACATGCTTTAAGATCCAGTTAAACTGATTTATTGCTCATATCTATTCACAGGAATCTAGTCAGCACTAAACTGGTACTGGATAAGACTTAATGGGATTCAAGAGGGGCTGGACTTGGTCTGCATATGGGAACATAATAATTGCATTCCTCTCTTGACTCTGATCCAGACTGTGCTTCTCCTTCTCCTATCCTTTCCTCTATAATGATTTTTTTTAACCTAAAGAAAAAAGATGGAAGAAGCAATGAGAACATGCAGAAGTTCTGCAGAAGAAGGTTACAACTGATAGATAATGTCTGGAAGCATCATCTCCAATAATTCCATCATTGAGATTCTTATTGTTATGTTGTAAGCTTCCCAGAGTCATTGAATATGAGATGGGCAGCAGATAAATAGAATGAATGAATGAATGAATGAATGGGAGTTGAAATGTACAGGGTGTAAGAATTTCATCCAGTAACTTCTTATTCATATTAAAGATTAAAAAGATTAATGGTTTGTAACTACTGTACTTTGTAGTTGCAATCTAAATTATTTTCAATAATAATAATATTTCTAAAATACCAATTGTCAGGGATGCCCTAATTAAATCATGAGACTCGAGCCAAGCTTCAAAAGAAATCCAATTATTTATTAGGAGCAACATGTCGGCATGTCCCCAGGTGAAGCCAACTCTGACCCCACATAATTTATGCCCCAACTATGACCCTGTTTTCCCCCTACCCCCAGGGTGTGTCATAAATCACATTCTCCAATGGAGCACTTTTGCGGCCTGTAGAGATCATGCCGATCCAGCTGCTGCAGGTAACCTGGGAGACAGCCTTGAGAAAGATATGCGTGGAATGTACTTCTGTGTGTGGCTGCTGTGCTGTTTCCTTGGTTTACCATCCCCCCTTTTCTATGGAAACTCGAGAGCAGGCCGGGGATGCTTTGCAAGTTGACACCAATTGATTAAATAATGTTCTCATTACCTTTATTTTGTCTAGTTGAGGAAGCAAGAACATTGGACAGATTTGTTTTCAATATGAAAATGATTCTGTAATTTAAACCTGCATAATTCTGAAGGAAACAGTGACTCAAAAGGCCTCTTTCTATTTTAATATTTTATAAATATTACCAATTGTAATTTAATATTGTCACATAATTGTTAGTGTGCAACTCAGATTACATTTATGGACCATGATTGGGAAGTAAAAGGAAAATGAAAAAAGTGAAAAAAGATTAATCAAAGGAATAAAATTGTTCAGTATAAAGTAGTAATTATAATCAGTTTTGTTAAATCTATATTATCAGTATTAATTAGTATTATTAAAACTGTTAAAAACAAAATGCATATTGCATGCAATATTCTCAGGAAGAAAGCAGAAGAGACATGCCAACTCTTTATTCACCAAGATTGTGTATCCATGGAACAACTTGGGAAAAAAGCCATTTTCCCAGATTCTCCTGTTTGACAGCTTTCCATTAACATATGTAAATGATATATCTTAATATCTACATCTAATATAAACAGCTTACAAACATGATGTACATTGAAGCAACAGAAAGAGGACACTAACTTGCTCAGACATGTTCTCTATGTCCTGGTTTATTAGACAGATCCTCTTTCCATTGCAACTAGTGCTGCTCAGCTTGATCCATGCTTCCAGGATGGAAATGGGCTCTAAGAAGAGAGAGAGTGGGGAGAGAGGGAGGCGGGAAGGAGAGAGAGGGAAGGAGAGAGAGATAGAGAAAGAGAAATGATTGAAAGAATCAGACACCTTCAACCAAAATAGAACGACCTTGGAAAACAGTGGGGTGGGGGGCATGTGTGTAGCAGCCTAAATTGAACAACAGAAACTTGGCAGATCTCAGCAAAGAATAGCAATTAACCTCTCATGAAAATAAAAACACTGCAGTAACTCTTGTTGTTTCCCTTCCAACATAGGGATTCTCCCATGCTACCTATCTCCTTATGGGCTTCCCCAGTTTCTTACAAATTTCCCCATTTCTGTCATCTCAGACTAAAGTTACCTAGGGACTCTTGAAAATAATGTTTAATATTTCTATAGAACTTTACTTTCTATAGCATTTTTAAAGTGTTTTATATTCATTCATTCATTACTTAGTTATTAAAATATTCCAAAACCAACTCACTTGGGAGATAAAAAAAATCCATAGCTATCAAAATCAAGTTGTTATATAAGTGGAAAAATTCTCACAGAAAGTCCAGCATGTCAACATATTTAAATTCATTGCTCAGAAACATCAGGGAATTAATTAACAGTACTCTGAAACGTCTCATCTAAGACATGTGGAGTTGTTTTGAATTTTGGTTGGATTGATCAATAAGAAAAACTCTTTGGAAATTCTACAATCCAGTCAGAACGTTACATAAAGGCCTAAGTGGGTGGTAGCAGAGGAACTAATCCAGCAAAATGTTTTGTAAAAGTTAGATGATCACCAATGAAAAGTGAAAGAACTTACAAATGAAATGGTTCAAAAAGAACAGAAACTCTGGCAAAGCAAATAAACTTAACCCAAGGGCAAGCAAAAAAAGAGGGAAAAACCAGATAGCTTAAATATATATATATATAAAACAAATACTTGATTTGGTAGATCAAAAACAAGAAACCCACCAGCTAACCAGGCAAACTGTTTGATGACATACATATTTATTATTTTATTTAAAATATTTGTTAATCTGTATCTAACCATTTATTTATTTTTAAAAAAAATCAAGTAATCTATGCAGCAATTGCAATAATGTTCAACAACTGAAAGTACATTAAAATGTCACATAAATTATATAGAATAAAATAAAACTAAGCAGCAATAAACACAATAGAAGGTTAAAGAACCTCAATGTCATCTTTACTAAAAAGCCTAGTGGGAATATTTGCATAACACCCAAAACACAGAACAGATTATATCCATCGTACCTTCCTAGGGACAGTATCCTGAAGTTAGAGAGTACCACTCCAAATGCTAACATTTAAATAGCACTCATTATACACCTCTGAAAGAGGGTTGAAATGTGGGAAGAAGCATTGCTTTAGATGTCACAATTCTAAGCCTTGAAAGCTTATCTAGGTTAAATGCAACATCTTGAATCAGTTCCAGAATAAACTGGGTGCCAGTGAACATTATAAAAACAAGTTCGGTGTAGTGGTTACTAGGGACTCTGAGACCAGTCCTGTTTTAGACACAAAGCTAGTCACTCTCTCTCAGCCCTAGGAAACAACAATGGCAAACTACTTCCAAAATCTTGCAAGAAAACTGCAGGGTCTTGTTCAGGCAATTACCAGGAGTCAAGACAGACTTGGAAGCACAGACACCCCAACATTATGAAGAACTAGTATGATGTGCTTTAATACTATTTTCCTAGCATTTATTCCTGATTTATTACATTGGTATGAAACCTCATAGCATAAAGTACCTATCTTAAAATAATACATTTTAAGACAATAAAATAAAATTAATTTAGGTGTACTATAAAATATCCTAAGGTGCCCTATACTTTGTTTTAAAAATAAAATCCAATTTCAAAATACAAGTAAAATATAGAATTTCAGCTAGCAGAGTGCTGCAGGAGGCTGGGGAGACGAAATACAGGTCACGCACAGAGGTCAGCTCCTACCGGTTCGGATCGATTCGGCTGAGTAGGTAGTAACTCGGCCACCCACGCATCCAAACTGGTTCTATCGGCAGCACATTTTGTTTTTTGTTTCTGTGCATGTGCAGAAGCAATTTTTTTACTACTGCACATGTGCACATAGTGCGTGAAGTGCGTGAAAAGTGCATGAACACCCAAAGTGTGTTCCCGAGTGAACCAGCACTAAAAGAATCCGGAACCCATTCCTGATCATGCAGGAACCACGCAGGGCCTCCGCTTGGCCCGTTTTTGGCTGGCAGAGTGGATTGGACTAGATTACAGTTATGTGTCTTCAACTAAATGCATGATATGGATAAGAAACAAGCAACATCCTATTTTAATACTACAGTTTAATGCCAGATTTTACATACTGTGGGTCCATTTAATCTACAATCAACAATCCCTAATTGACAACCATTTCTATTTACTATCCTGGAAATTTACCTTTGCTGTTAGATCTTGTATTATCATGTTATTTATGTTATTGTATTTTTATTATTAGTTGAATAATAAAAATACAGTAGTATAAATAGCTCTTCTGCCTGGAAAAGCAATTTACCATTAAACAATGGGGTATAAATTGAGAAATAAAAAGTATGAAGAATAAGTAATACATGTTTGCCAGTGTTATCTCTCCAACCTTGGCAACTTTAAGATTTATGGACTTCAACTCCCAGAATTCTGGGAGTTGAAGTCCACAAGTCTTAAAGTTGCCAAGGTTGGAGACCCCTGTGTTAGAAGAAATAGGAAAATGGTTATAGTAAAAAACTGTGGAAAGAAAGAAGGGAAAAATGCATCTCAACCTTATGTCAAATGGTCACCATGG